GGTAAAGAGAAAGAAAGCGCGCGCGCGCGGGAGAGAGACAGAGAAAGAGAGAGAAAGAGGAAGGCAGAAACGCGGGCACTCGTGGAGACTCGCGGCGACTCGTGGGAGCGTCGCGACGCAACGCAACCAGGCCAGCTGAACGTTCGTCGTGCGACTAGACTGGGGTTCTTGCCGTTGACCCGGACCCGCCTTGCGCGGCGCAAGCGCCGCGCCGCCAAATTACACTGCCCTATCCGGAAAACCGGCGGATGTGTGACGCAACGTATATCGTAACGCCCTTACATAGAGAGAAATCGCGCTTACGCACGCTCTACGTCCTACGCTTCCGTTCGTGGAACGCGTTTCCGGTGTCCGGTCCGGACACTCTCCTCGAAACCGCGATTGAGAACCGTCCACGCGAATTTTCCGCCGAAGGTGGAAAAGCGCGGGTCGCGGTGATTGTCAACCGGATCTAAGAAGATCCGCGTCTCCCTTTCGGTGAAGGGACAAAAGTGAGACCCGGATCTTTAAAATATCGCTCGGAAAGATTCACCATTTAAATACGCTCCGCATACGGTGTATGCATGAGAATGCATTTTTATCCTGGATCTTTCGATAAAGCGCGGGTCTTTCCGTTATTGACGAGAAATGGTGCAAGAGCGAGGGCGCAGGACGAGATGAAAGTATCTTTGGAAAAGGTCAGTTTTTTCTGGTTAAAAAAAGAGCTATTTTCTAGTAAAAAAAGACAACAAAAAATAGTATCATTACTGATGCCGTTACAATATTTAATAACCTGTAACCTTCTCAAACATGTAATTTTTAATATTGTATATATCATTGCGATTTTTATTGTGAACATTATTGCAAATTTGAAATTAACGTTCGAAAAATATTTTCACAATATTTTTACATTACTCGAAAATATTATGTTGCATATCAAAGAGAGGCAGCATATTTTAAAAATATTTATAAAACATTATACGTAAAAGAAGAAAGAAAGAAGGTTTAAAAAAATGCATACATAAAACCAACATTTCGAGAAATGTTTATTATTTCCTGGAAAATATTCCTCGCGCATAATCGTTTTTTTTCTCAACTATCACGCGACTGCTCTTTCTCTTTTTTCCTGAAACTTTAATAGCGATTAAATGAAACGCCGCGTGCATTCACGTCACTCTTGCGAGAACGCGAGGAGGTAAAGTGCCAGTGTCTGTAAACGCGACAGTGGCAATTGATTTGGAGGTAATTCAAACTCTCGGCTGCGGTATTCGCAGGCGCCGTCCATTGTCGCCTTTTACGGACGTTTAAAACGAACGGCCTTGGGCAGGTGGACGAGTAATTTCAGCGCGAAACTAATTTGAGGTGATCCTATTCCACTATCGCGTTAGATATAAAGAAACGTGCAGGAGGGACGCAGACTCGTCGCGAAGGAAACGGGACGAGATTTCGGAAAACTCTTTCGAATAATTTTGAGATCGCTGCTTGGCGCGACTGTTGCGGCGCGATAATGCGAGATAAAATACCCCGAGGATACTTGACTCGGTAAACGATGACGGATTACTCCACCGAGAGTCTTTCGATTATCCGAGCAGAAGAGACCGACGAGATGCTGCTCGAAATCCACCGGGCAAATCCGTTGAAGATCGTTCTTTAAGACTCAAACTCCTCGCTTCAAAGGAGAGGATTGTTTCTCTCTCTCTCTCTCTCTTTCTTTTTGATTCGCGAGATAAGCAAAGAATAATTCATCAATCGGGTCTTTGCGTCGAGAGAACGAGCTTTCTCTTTTACGTTCTCTTTCGCATAAAGCTACCATTGTTGTTAAAAACAGCCCATTTATGTCGTGAGATCCGCGTGAAACAGTCTCCGCCTTTACGTCATCCTTCACATGCGTGGCAGAAAATCGAGAATCTCAATTACCGCGGCCTATCCGTCATTCATCGATGGGAAAACGTTACGCGAAAGAGCTAACTTGGTTTTAACTTACATATAATTATTACACGCGCGTGTGCCCCCGTTACACACTTCATCATACGTTACACATAACTTAGACATAGAGAATCTTGGAATACTATTATACGAGGAAAGTATACGAATGAATAGAACGGACAGAGAGAGGTTTTCACTCAAATATCGACTATTCATAAATGCCGTTTTATTGGCGCCAAGAGTAGCTATTAGATTAGATTATTTCAATTTCTTCCCCGAGCATTTTATAAACGCCGACATACGCGTCTAAAATTTTTCGGGGCTGACATTAGCTTGGCATTTGAAATTCGCAGCAACAAGTGTTGGGAGAATCGAGAGGTGGTTCACACCACGCCGAATTATTCGCGCCATTTTCGCGTACTCTCGCACCTCTGAATACTCATTGTGTGTCGCGCTCTCGTTATCATTGCAGAGCAGAAATCCACTGTGTGCTGTGCGGTATATATGTATATCGCGTTCGAGAGTTGAAGTGACTCTCGACTCGATCGTGCATGGGCGTTTCGATTGGCGAGCTAGAGCTCCATTAGCATGCGAATAATATTAAACGCGATGAGAAACATCTCCCGACTCGAGTTCGCGTCACGATATACGACAGATAGTATAGCATAGTGACACAATCGGAATGGAGGCAAAAGAATTAATATATTTTACATTGGAAATATAAATGTATATACATACATAAAATATTTATTTTTTCAATTATCATTTATAAATAATTAACGTAAAAAAAATAAAATTATTTATTCGATATACGACAGCATAGTGACACAATCGGAATGGAGGCAAAAGAATTAATATATTTTACATTGGAAATATAAATGTATATACATACATAACATACATAATTTTTCAATTATCATTTATAAATAATTAACGTAAAAAAAATAAAATTATTTATTTATTTATTTATTAAAATTTTCTATTTTTAGAATAGCTAATTTAGCTGATTCATTAATTAAATATAAATATCTCAAATACATATATATTTCCTGTTAGAGATTTTAAATAATCTCGTTAAAGATTGAAATAATTTTTTCTCATTATATGAATTTAATCATTTTGATTATCGTATTAAAACAAATATATTTTTGCTTTGTATATATATGTATTTTTTTATTTATGATTCTCACAAAAGTTAAATTTTCAAGGAATATTTTATTTAAGCAAGACTATTTTTAAATAATTATTTTTAATAGTCTGCATTTTTGAAGTGTGCCCATTACTAAACAAACTTTAGAAATTTTTATTTTCAACATACTATTTTAATATTGACTCAACTATTTTAATATTGCTATATTTATGTGATGAAATACATGAAAGGGAAAAAAACGGAGCAAAATTTGTCATACGTACATGTCATACATAATTTGTCTTTTTTCCGCAAAAGCGGCATATTTATCTCATTCAGATAGAAAGTGCATGTCGACGTTCCATTTATCATACATTAATAGATATAATCGACGTCGTCGATTTCACGAAGAAAGAATTACCATTCGCTAGATTAATGGCGGAAGAAACAGAAATTACCGTCGCGATATATCGGTAAAATATTCCCAGTTAGAGCATCGATCGAACTTATTAGATTCTGTTCGCTCATCAGTTTTCATGTCGAAATTTAATGCATAAAGATAATCCGGGTACACGATACTCAAGCTTTTGTATCAGCATTTACGTTTAAACGTCAATAAAGCCAACCTTAATGATGGAAAGATGAGTGCAACGAGGATTAAAATGCTGTTCTCTTTGAAAATTCATTAGCGCGCAATATATCTTGCATTAAAAATCTTCGAAACGCGAGATACAACGGACTTCACGTTTTTCCGTCCATATTTGCAGCCATGTTTCTTAATTATAGTGTAGAAACAATACGTTACAATTAACTGTAAAACTCAAACGCAATTACGATGCATCTGTAAAATAATTTGCAGTAAAAAAATTCTGTCATAGAAATATATTATCCTCCGTAAAAAATCTTATGCCGTAGATGCATTATTAAAATACATAACGGAACTTTAATTAAAAGGACGTCTCCCTTTTTTTATCCCTTCCTGCGCTGATAAATGGATGGATAACTGATTGGCGTAAGAAGATAATAAAGAACGATAATTTTTTATATCGAGATGTAAAAAGACTTACGCGAACTTTAATTAATGTAACAAATCGCACAGCACAAGATATATTACGAGATATGTTCTGTAAAAATTCATTAATCATCCTGTATACAATTTTGCTGCAGTTCTCATTTTTTATTACTCGCTTGATCTATGTCATGCATTCATTGCCCGTAAAAATGAGAAATCTATATTTCAGCGGCGATTAAAAAAATTCAAACGACTCTCTTGTCATTGGATCAATCGGGAGAACTTTCAATCGAATCAATTTTGAAGACGTTTATCGCGATAATGATGATACTCTTTATCGTGTCATTCTTCTCTCGATCTGCGATCTTGGATGAATGTTCTCTGGAATGCACTTCATCTCTCGAGATCGCTAGCGTGATGTTGATTCGACGATCGCCGGCGTCGAAGCAGATTCATAAAAGCTCGCGCTAACTATTAATTTTCCGACGTGAGTCCGATCCAGCCGTGTCGT